AATATTTCGGCACTTTGAGGACGTAGTATGATTCCTGAGGCATTTAGAAACAAATTTCTATTAGGGTTTGATGCGCTTTGATGCTTAATAAAGCCAGAAAATCAATTTTTGTCGAATTCGGTCCAAAACGGTACAGGTGGCGCCATCTAGCGGCGAGCGGCGGAACTACGAAAAACTAAAATCTCGATTTTCTCGAAAATTAGGGACTTTTCCGAAATTCTGAGATATACAAATTGTTCCTTGTGGCTTAAGGAATAGAACGAATCTAATTATAGCCCGCTAGGACCATTATTAAAGAAAATAGAAAAATAGTCCAAAACATGGACTAAAAAATTGGCGTCCATCTAGCGGTAAAAGTTGGAACTACAAAAATATAAAAGTGCGATTTTCTCGAAAATTAGCGAACGTGGAGTACTTCTGAGGCTCAGAAAGTATTATGTGATCGCATTAGAAGCAAAATAATGCAATAAAAGCTTCCTAAAGGCTTTATTAAAGAAAATAAAGAAAATGTCATTTTATGGGCAAAATTTGTGGTGCCATCTAGCGGCGAAACTGCGAACTAAATTGAAAAACCGTATGTCCGAACACGCGTTAAGGGGTCAAATAAAAAATGATTTTCTGGGCTTAATAGGCAAAAAAATGCATAACTTATTCAACAAAAATTGCTTTAAAAGGTCTAAAGAAGCATACTACGTCGTCAAAGTTGCGAAATATTACTTTTTATATTTTTCCTTAACGGGTATACGAGCATACGTATGTTCAGTTTAGTTCGCAGTTTCGCCGGTAGATGGCACCACAAATTTTGTCCATAAAATGACATTTTTTTAATTTTCTTTAATAAAGCCTTTAGGAAGCTTTTATTGCATTATTTTGCTTCTAATGCGATCACATAATTGCATTATTTTGCTTCTAATGCGGTCACATAATACTTTCTGAGCCTCAGAAGTACTCAACGTACGCTAATTTTCGAGAAAATCGCATTTTTATATTTTTGTAGTTCCAACTTTAACCGCTAGATGGACGCCAATTTTTTAGTCCATGTTTTGGACTATTTTTCTATTTTCTTTAATAATGGTCCTAGCGGGCTATAATTAGATTCGTTCTATTCCTTAAGCCACAAGGAACAATTTGTATATCTCAGAATTTTAGAAATATGTAAAATTGCCTTATTTCGGAGAAAATCGAAATTTTAGTTTTTCGTAGTTCCGCCGCTCGCCGCTAGATGGCGCCACCTGTACCGTTTTGGACCGAATTCGACAAAAATTGATTTTCTGGCTTTATTAAGCATCAAAGCGCATCAAACCCTAATAGAAATTTGTTTCTAAATGCCTCAGGAACCATACTACGTCGTCAAAGTGCCGAAATATTGCACTTTGCATGCGCAGTAGAATTGACATAGGCGGCTCAATGTACGTATCGCAATGCTGACACAAAATAATTAATTACTCATTACCCGAACATTATTTATTAACTTTTATGATCGAACCATGTAAATAATGCATTGCTGACCATTCTTTAATCATAAAAGTTCATTGAGTGTGCTCAGAAACTGAGTAATTAATGATTTTGCATACTCATTATCGTATATATTCCTCCTACGCGCCGCCCGCACATGCTACGGAGGAATAATTACCGAAAAACCATATCCCCGTAGACTTTAATGCAAAATTGAATTTGCTCGCACTTATGTACTTGACTTTTCCACTTTTTTGTCACCGTTTTTCTCTTGCACCACTTAACCAATTCATCCATGTTTTTCTCTTGCACCACTCAACCAATTCAACCGGATGACACGGTTAACTATTATTTGCTTTAGCGTGAAATTTACTCGCTCGCTCAAGATTGTTAAGTTAGGTGCGGAGCGCCTCAATCAAACAGACCTAGTTTTAATAATTCATGTTTGTCTTAATTTCATTCCGACATTTCAGGCTTTTATTTTAATAATTCATGTTTGTCTTAATTTCATTCAGACATTTCAGGCTTTTATTTTAATAATTCATGTTTGTTTTAATTTCATTCAGATGTGTCAAATTTTTATTTTAATTAGGTAATGAAATGTTTCATATGTGTCTTAATTACATTTTTATGTTACAGGTTTTAATTTTAAGTAATTGAATATTTTCCAAGTATATTGTAATTTTATTTACGTATTTTTATAGAGTCAACTCGTGTTTTATTTCACTTTTATTTCGAAAATGTTAATATAAATTTATATGTTAGCATGAATTGTGCATGCCTAAACATTATAATGTTACTAATGTTGCATTTGCTTTTCTGTTTCCTCTTTTTATTATTACATCTAATTATTCTATAGGTAACGAAGAGGTCATCGTTGAAGACTTCCTTCGCGGGATTTCATAAACTAATGCGCTAATTTTAAGTAATTTTAAGTTGCATGTATTGTAATATATTGTAGTATGAATGAGTGAATGTGTGGGTGGGGAGTTAGGGTGGGTCATTCTCGTAGCCACCTCCACGTGGTGTGACCTGGTAATCGACATCGTTCTCTAAACTGAGATATTTAGAAAACGATGTCGGGCTAAGAGCTACGATAATTTAAGTTATAAATTTATTTATTTTCAAACATTTCCTTTTGCGATCTTTTTTATTAAAACAGAATTCATACTTCATTAAGAAGTTCAAGTTCATACTTTACGAACCAAAGCTTGTTTAAAGTATTTGAGAAAATTTTATTGCTTATCGATTTCGAATTAATGCATTTCATGGTCATTTTCACCAGGCTAATCAAATTGCATTCTTGTGTACAAGGAAAAAGAAATTATTTGAATACCATGTATGAAATGAAACGTCATCGACTTATCGATATAAGTCGAAATCGCAAAGTTGACGCAACGTACAGAACGGTGAGCGTATTACATGACGTGTTTGTTTCCAAACTGTCAACACAAAAATACGTACAGAATACGATTCTATACGATTAAAGTGAAATTTTTTAATTGAATAATTTATAAACTAATTGAGTGAATTCACGTACTTAGATACCAGTAAATATGGTTTACATATCAGAAGGTAAGTATCTTAACCTTCAATACGTTCATCATATTTGTATGATTTAACTTTAGTTAACTTTGTTTAAGTAATTGACTTTAATTGAATGATAAACTTGTTGCTCATGTAAAATAATGGTTAATTTATTACATTTTAGATGGAAAAGTTTTGGACACAACTCCGTTACATTTGAAAGTATTTAGATTCTTCAGTGGAATAGTTTTCATGGTTATTATGTTGTAAGTAATCAGAGTTTGTTTATTACTTTGTGAAGGATGCAAAAATGTTTTAACAAATTTAATAGTTTCAGAACATTGATTGATCCGGATATGAATAAACATGGAAGTGAATATACGAGAGATTATAGACCTGGCTCTGGGTAAGATTTACTAATCTAGTTTGATTAAAGTATATAGATTTAATAATAGATACAAACATGAATTAAATTTTTCATAATTTTATATAAATATTTTTAAATGTAGGCCACCACGTCCACCAACACGCAGAATAGGAAGGCCTAACACTGGAGATACTGTGAGCGTTCCATTCGGATGTAGAAGTTGTGCCAGATAAGATAAAATTCGAGTAACGTAAAAATGGGTTTAATATTATAATATTTTTATATATGTACTATGATATTATAGTTAGTAATATATCAAAATCATATTAATGAATAATTGCATTATAAAGAAACATGAAAATTACATAGTAAATAATCAGACATTTATGTTAAATAAATTTATTAAATGTATTGCACTAACTTAATGTTAAAAATGTTACAAATCATTATAAATATATTACACATTATATACTGACTGTGGGCAAAAGTGATTTTGCTATAAGAAATGAATCTGTATTTACATAATGAATTGACAAAAAATAATTAACTTGATGTAATAATTTTCATATATTTTCAGCATTGTAGGTATTATAGCTCCAATTTGATTATAGCACGAATGAATATCTAGCATTTTAACATTAAATATCGCAAATTTTTAATTATTTGATCTTTGTAATTAATCCAGCTGCAATAGTCGTTCCTTCTACGCGTAACGTTATTCTACCCAATTGTTTAATATCTTTGTATAATTCCATACAAACAGGATTTTGTGTTGTAATTTCAATAATAGCACTCGAATTTTTTGGTAAACAACGTGGTTTCTTTTTTATCGTCTCACCAGTAGTTCTATGAATTTGAGATATTAATTTCGTAATTACAGCAGGTTGTACTAAAGATTGCTGGTGCATTACTACGGGAAGACCTCTCAAAATTGGTATTTTAACTGCAAATACAACTACATGCGCTTCGAAACATGTAGTTACAGGAACTGGATTTTGTGGATTACAAATGATATCACCGACTCCAACATTTTGTTGTTCAATTCCAGATATCGTTAAAGAAACATAATCTCCGGCAAATGCGTTTGTTGTAGATATTTCATCCACGTGTAAACCTGAAGTTTAGTTATATAATTTACACTTGAATATTTAACTACGTTTAAGAGGCAAGTAAACTTTAATATGTTGACATACCTTTTACTACAGCAACCTCATTCCTTGGTAATACCAAGACTTTGTCACCCAAAGATACCATACCTGTCTCTACATGTCCAGAAACACAAAATCCAGATCCTGTACCTTTAAATATATCATTAACTGAAAAACGGAAAGGTTTATTTATTGGGCGCTCAGGACATTTAAAATTGTCGATAACATCGACTAGAGTAGGTCCCGTATACCTGCATGATAAAAAGAACACTAATTAATATATTATTCTACTTATTTAAACATTTTTTAATTTTTACACTATTGTTATACCAATTAGATAAAGGTTCTTTCGGTTTCGTTACTATATTTTCACCAGATAACCCACTGCAAGGAACAAAAGTGACATTATCTTTGAATCCAGCTTGTTTTAGGAATACACTCATTTTATCCACTATTTCATTAAATCTTTCTTTTGACCAATCCACAGTATCTAATTTATTTACTACCACTGCTAATTGTAAAACACCTAAAAGACAATACATTTAAGTATAAATAAATGTATTTAAGTATAAATGTATTACATGAACATGATGCATAACCACTTTTAATACCTAATGAACGTAATAACAGGGCATGTTCTCTAGTTTGACCTCCACTATCAAAACCAGTTTCAAATTCTCCTCTAGTTGCATCTACTACTAACAAAGCAACATCTGCTTGAGTAGCACCAGTAATCATATTAGGGATAAAGTCTTTGTGCCCAGGTGCATCTAATAAAGTGATAGATTTTGTTTCTGTTTCAAATTTCGAATGACCAATATCCATAGTTATTCCACGTTCCCTATGAAATAAGTTCAAAAATAGAAATTCATGAAAAAAGATTTTTTATATTAAAGCAATTAATTACCGTTCTTCTCCTGTTTCATCTAAAACCCATGCATAAGCAAATGACTGTTTTCCTATCTTTTTACTTTCTTGCTGATATTTGTGAATTAATCTTGATGGAACTTGTCCTAAATCACACAAAAGTCGACCTAACAAAGTACTTTTACCAGCATCCACATGGCCAACTACAACTAGATGTATCTGTTCTTTGCAATCTCCTCTTTTATCTTTATATATTTTTAAAACATCACGTTTTTCTTCATTGAGCTTTGTTTTAGAATCTAAATCAGGCGTTTCACGTCCTGGTGCTGGAGATTGGCATCGTGGACTGTTTGAACTTGAAGAAACAGTCTTTTTGTCCTTTGGCATAGTACGTTCTTTTCTCTTTACTTCTGGGCTACTATGGTCAGAATATGGACTTCGAGAACGTGGACTTTCGACACGACAATTCAGCATATCTGTATTTTCTATTCCGCTTAGATCAAAACCTTGTACAGCAGGTCGTTTTCCAGCAGGTATAATTTTCACATTGGTTGGTGTTGTAACTTGAAAGGTAGATTTGGACGACAATTTGCTACCTATTATAAAATTGTTTGTAAACTATTGTTATCATGGTGTTAAATACAAAAATAAAAAAAAATATATAAAAGCTTTGATATAAAAACATATTATTATTGGGTATATTAAAATTACATTTATAATCAAAAAGATTCATGATTTTGCTTAAAAATTTTAACAATAATATTCACATAAAAATAAATATTGTACATATTGAATGTATTTATATAATTACATTTAATATTAAGTCATTTTTTAGTAGACCAGTAACTATTAGCATTTTAATTATCTCTTTACACAATGATAATTTCTAGAACAATTTTAATTATCTGGATGTAATAGCACTTACATTGAAAGAAAGAAGAAGAAACACTTCTTCAATTTTGACAATATAAATTTTGGTGATGGATGAGAATTTACATTTGTATAAGGTAATCAAACTAATGAAAGCACTATCATTTTTTAAATACCGATTGACTAATCTGGTAAGTCATAACAAATACTATTTGTTAACTTCACAAGTTTAAATGAGAAGATAAACATGATAAGATTACTATCAGTATCATATATAAGATAAACATAATAAAATTCAACAAACTTCATTTACTTTGAGTGCTAACGGGGCACCCTATAGTCATAAAAAAATTAATAACTAACACATAAAATGATATTGTAACATCTGTGATAAAATATTATCATATTAGTTCACGGCACTTTAATAAAGGAAAAGTGTTAACAATTATTAATCAATAATTAGAAGGTACTTGCACTTTTCACTTTCATAGATATCATCCATATTGTATTACTGTTTCTGTGAAACATATTGTGTTTAACTGGAAAAATCAGATGTAAAAGAAGAATTTATTTGTTGATCTAATTAGTAAGTTTTTGAAATAATTGAATAGCAAATAATTACTAGTCTATTTTTTATATATTAAAATACCCAAAAGTTTAGGGCTTTAAACACAAATAATATTTGCGAAATGAAAAACAAATATCCTACTAAATATAATTTGAAATTAACTTTTCGATTTATATTTATTAGGACGTTTTTTCATTATATGTCCTGCATGTTTTAAATTTCTCTTCTCAAACACCAAATACTTTTTCAATCTTTCCATATATTCATAATTTTATATAAAATAATTCGAAGTTATATTTATAAAAATTATATTTAAGTATCATAACATTTTGTATCGCAAAAAATTTGTACCTAATTTAATCTATTACTTCAACAAGCTTCGTCAAGTACAATTATATGGAACTGAGAAATCAAATCTTTTTATAGTTTGACATTGTTGTGATTGAGATTTAAGAATTGGTCTTTTTACTTTCCATGCTCGACATAATGTTCTGCCAAATAAAGATACATTTTTTTTTGTGTATGGAAGTTGAACATATTTTAAACTACTCAAATTTAGTGTCGTGGGGAGCACTGCATACGGAATATCAATATTTTGGTTAAAAGTCTGGAAACTTGAATTAGGAATGACATTATTAACATTTTTTAATTCTTTTGGTTTTTTATCAGAACACTTATTTGTAACTAAAGATGAAGCTTCTTTCAAAGCAGAACTCAAATCTATTATCCATGGATCTGGTGATGGTGTTCGAGTACCACTCACATTTAATGTTGAACTTCCTTCTGATTCCATATTTTGTGACTTATTCTTAATGTTATGATCACTATAATCTCTTGAAAGAGCAAGTACACTAGATATACGTTTTTCAAGTGAATCCATAGAATCATCTTTTTCTTGATCATTCATTGATTCTATATTTACATCTTTTTTGTTGTCAAATAAATTTAAATGTACATTTCCTAAGTCATTAGACTTATCATTTTTAAATGACAATTTTGGTATCACAAAATTTGTACTACATGAAGATGTTTGTCCATTTAAATTTGTACTACCAAATAAACTAGTAGATTTTTGCAAATGATGAGCCGTTAAATCAGCTAAGGATTTAAATGATACAGTGTCCAAATTATTTTTACAGTGCTCTTTTGCAGAATTTGGTATTACCGAATCATTATGATTAAGCATAAGTCCAGGTAAAGAAGGAAATGTTATGGGAGGACTGCTAATAGTTAAAGTTTTTAAACTTTCTATGTTATGTGTAAAGCATGTATTCATATTGGAATTTTCAATGTTATTGTGTTTGTTAAATGAAAATTTGGGTATAACGAATGAACTAGGTTGTGATTTAATAGATGTAGCATCTTACCTTACCGATGGATTAAAGAACAGCACATGAAACAAAAAAAATCACAGGTCAAGAAATAATCATCAATAAAAAATATAAAATATAATGTAATATTAACTTATTTATTATTTAAAAGAACTGTTTATTATATCTATAAATTACATACCTGAATGAAGATCTAAATTATCCTTGCGGCTTGCAGATGATTCTGAAAATTCAATTACTGTTAATTTTATAAAATTAAATAATAAAAGCCTATTTCTATACATACCAGTAACATTTTTTGGGGGTGATTCCTTTAAAACTAAATCAAGTGCTACTTCTGCATTGAAATTTGATTGAATAATTTTCTTCTTTACTTCAGATTCAGGTACTGTATCTCCTATAATATTCTTAATTGATTCCATGCATGACATAAGTTTAGCCCTTTCCATTTCTGTAAGCACTGTTTCTTCCTCTTTACAAGTTGATAAAAGTTCTTTATTATCTTCATTATCTTCTAGTATGTCTGGCTCCGTAATAAAGGATGCAAAATTTTGTTGCTTACTCCGATCAAACAAAAACTGTTCCGCTATAATTGAAATTATTGAAACAATTATATAAAGGAACGAAAGTCAAATTATTTAAAATATCCAATAACTCTAGTTGTGTAGTAATATGAAAAAGTAGAAAGCCATAGAGGTGTAAGTTAAATTTTATAAGTATAGGTTAAAATCTTTAAGTATTGACTTGCATATACAGATTCAATTGACATATGACTGCTCATTGAAAAAAAAATATAACAGTGGCCATAGATCTACTTTTATGTCAATAGATAGCAGAAATAAAAGAACACACAAATAAAACAGATGTTTATTTAATTTAATCAAACTTGATTTTTCAAAACAAGGATCAAAAAACTTATACCACAATGACATTTACCCCTTCATATAAATCTATTGCATAAAACGTACCACTAGGAGATACACAGTAGTCATCTTCCACAGAATGTCCATAGACATCGTCGTAATTTTCATACTCTTTAAATAACAAATATGTTATCTTAAAAAATTGCAAGTACTAAGAAAAGCGCTAAAAATTTATTTATACCTTCTGAATAATTCATACACCGAACATCACGATGACGAGACATTTTTTAAACTCCTGTAAAATCTTGTAATACAAGTAAATAAGTAAAAAGATAGCCTCCTTTTCGAACTGTTATTTACAACGTTTACAACCTCCCATAATACGCACAAAATAGCTGAAACCAAGTTCTGATATATATTGGCAACTTCATCCAAGATCAGAGTTGTCCAAGTAACACATATTGTGTTATATATTCGAACTTCACTTTTGATTGGTTGATTTTTATTACTATCTCCCTATATCATGAAATAAATCAAATAAAATTTCAATTTTGTCATATTGAAAATATAAGTAAATATATTTATACACGTAATACGAAATATACATACATATTTTTTACTGTTAGTAATTATATATGTTGTATTTTGCAATATTTAGTAATTTTATTTCCAAATATATAACATTAAATTAATAAAACATTTTAACAGTATTCATTTTAGTTATTCAAGGTAAATTGATTTTACTGCTGCAAATATCTTGCTTATCAAACTGAAAAAATGTCTATATATTTACATGAATACATGTATATACTGATAAGATTGTCGTGTTATGACTAATAACCAGTTAGTGATAGGATTCTGCATTTATATAGCGCTTTTATTTCAGAAAGTGTCGTCGATCTGTCGCGGAACTCATTTTAGCATTGATCTAATTAACATTTAATAATAAACAGAAAAATGGCTTCAGAACTTCCATCTACACTAAAAAACTTATTCAGGTAATTTGAAGTTTGTATTTATGTACTTACATTTGTACATAAAAAATGTAAATACATTATATATATTTTTTATTAACATGTATAATATGCATATATATGTGTATATATGTCCATATAAGTATAAATGTATGCAGATATCTGTCATACCCATGATTTAACATTTTTAATTATTATATTTGAACTCAATTTTCAGTTACATTGATGATCATAAAAGAGAGTACATAAATAATTTAAGTGAAGCAGTTGCTATCAAATCGGTCTCAGCATGGCCAGATCATAGGAATGAAATAACTAAAATGGTAAAATGGGTAGAAATCAGATTGAAGAACCTTGGTGCTACTACAGAATTAGCAGATGCAGGAATGCAAACTCTTCCTGATGGAACTCAAATTCCTTTGCCACCTATTTTATTAGGAACACTTGGCTCTGATCCAAAGAAAAAAACTATCCTTATATATGGACATTTAGATGTTCAACCTGCATTAAAATCAGATGGGTGGGACACAGAACCATTTACTCTTGTAGAAAAAGATGGAAAATTATTTGGTCGTGGAAGTACAGACGATAAAGGTCCAGTATTATGTTGGATACATGCATTACAAGCTTATAAAGCTATTGGCGCTGATATTCCTGTTAACCTTAAGGTGATTTAAATTATAGTTATTTTAATAATCTTTTATCTTCTTTTGCTTTACTAAATTGCGTTTGCTTAAAGTTTGTTTTCGAGGGTATGGAAGAAAGTGGCAGTGAAGGTTTAGATGAACTTCTTTGGGCACGTAAAGATACATTTTTACAAGGAGTTGATTATGTGTGCATATCTGACAACTATTGGTTGGGCACCACAAAACCCTGTATTACATATGGTTTAAGAGGTATCTGTTACTTCAATGTGGAAGTAACTTGTGCTGTAAAAGATCTTCATAGTGGTACATTTGGTGGAACTGTACATGAAGCAATGGCAGACTTGGTTTACTTATTAAATACATTGGTTGATGTAAATGGAAAAATTTTAATAGATTCCATTTATGAAAATGTTGCTAAACTTACAGATCAAGAATTAGAAAGTTATAAAAAAATAGACTTTGATGTGACTGAATTTAAACAGTCTATTGGAACTAACAGATTGGCTCATAATGAAGACAAAGTATGCATTTATAAGTTGATTAACGTTATATTTTAACCATATAATAATTGGTATTTATAAATTTTATTATTCTGCTAGATTCAACTTTTAATGCATCGGTGGAGACAGCCTAGTTTATCCATCCATGGAATTGAAGGTGCTTTTAGTGATCCAGGTGCAAAGACTGTTATTCCAAAGAAAGTTATTGGTAAATTTTCAATTAGAATAGTACCAAATATGACGCCTGATGAAACTGTAGAAAAAGTAAAAACATACTTAAACAAGAAGTGGGCTGTTAGAGGAAGTCCAAATACAATGAACGTCATTATGGGTCACAGCGGTAAAAGCTGGACTGAAAACCCTGATCATCCCCATTATTTGGCTGGTCGTAAAGCTACTAAACATGTATATAAAGTAGAACCTGATTTATCACGCGAAGGTGGATCAATTCCAGTTACTTTAACATTTCAAGAAGTGACAGGTAAAAATGTACTGCTTTTACCAGTCGGTGCCGGTGATGACGGAGCACATTCTCAAAATGAGAAATTAAATGTTCGTAACTATATTGAGGGAGTAAGTATTCTTTTGTAAAAATATTATTCGTCATAGTTATGTTACATAGATTCATTGATACTTTTGTTTCAGACCAAATTGCTTGGAGCTTATTTGTACGAGGTAGCTCAACTTTGTTAACAAGTTCATGTGATAAATATCTGTGTAATCAAAATGCTATTGCAAAAAGTTATTTTGCTTCGTATAATATATAATGTTCAAGTATAATTGCAAGGTGTAGGGCCAGGTAATAAAAATGTTATTTTATATTGTAAATGTACTTTTTTTAAGTAAATATAAAACATATTTTTAATAAACGAGTCATTCGAAAATTATTACGTTTCCTGCTGTTAAATGTAGCATTTTATTTCTGCTTTATTTTCAACACCCATGCTGGTTGACCTTTGTTTAATTCTGCTGGTAAAAATACACTTAATTTTTCATTATCTTGTTCCCACTGAAAAGTAGTAATAAGTATGAGATGTATTAGTTATACTAACTTTTATATTTATAATCTACTATGTAATTTACAGTCAGGCTCTCATATCTACAGATGTTTCAAGACCTACGTGGTTATGTAATATTGCATATAATTATATTAGCTATAAGATATTCATATAACATGCAGAAACAAAGTATTACATATCACATTGTGCATTTAAAATGTACTTTATCTTTCTACTTTGTAGGCGTTTTTTAAGCTCAAGAATACATCAGATAAGTCTACAGATAAGGGTGCCTGGACTGTATTCTTAAGATAACATACATACTTTAATAGAATTTTTAGATCCAAGTAAGTAAATTTGCGAGTAAGTAGGTACCACCAGTGACCCTAAATGTAATATACCATCAGTTGGCCATTCAAGAATTAGTGCATAAACATATTCTTTATCTTTACTGGATGTATACCAAACGTTATTATTTAAGGTATCATTTTGTGTTTTCCAAGGTTTGGTATTATAAATGGCTTCTCCATTTATTTCTAGCCAATCACCTATTAACAAAATTATTTATTACAGTTTACAGAGTTACGTTTATCATACTTTTGGATACTAATTCCGAATTTGTAATTATAATATATAATATGATAATATGATAATCATACCCATTCCACGCAGTCTTTCTTCAAATATTGGAGAAATAATGCCATCTTTTGTTGGTCCAACATTCATCAATAAATTTCCTCCGCAGCTTACAGTAATTACTAATTCTTTTACTAATTCTGGTAGGGTAAAATATTCTGATAAGACAGCGTTTCTACGAAATCCCCAAGATTTTCTATCAATTGTCATACAGTTTTCCCACTTATGAGGCAACAGCACTCCTAAATATTTTAAGTAATAAAATTACATATAATTTTAGTTGTACAAGAAATCATAAACGCAATATAAACTTGTACATTTACCAGGATTGTAGCGATCGGAACATGTATAAAAATCGCCGTGATGGCATGGAATATTTGCACCCCATCTATCATTCGCAACAACCGTGTCTTTTACAGGACTTTCATTATACAACCATGCCAAAAATTCCTTTGATTTCCAGTATGTATCTGATGCTTCCCAGTCGCCATCAGACCATATAACTTCTGGCTTATATTTTTCTATTAACTCATGCAATTCAGGAATAATCTTTTGCTGAACAAAAATCTGTGTTGTAAAGTTATTTTCTTTATCAGACAAATAAAGAGGATTATACCACTCATACATAGAATGATAAAGACCAAATCTCAAATTGGTTGAACTTCTTATTGCACTTGACAATTCACCTAATTTTATAAATTTTTTATTAGAAGTATAAAATTATTCAAAAATATTTATGATACAGTTAAACTCAATTCTTACCTACAAGATCTTTTTGTGGTCCTACATCTACAGAATTCCAGCTAAAAGAGTACTTTGAAGGCCAAAGAGTATATCCCTCATGATGTTTGCTTGTTAATACTACGTATTTTGCACCTGAAGCTTGAAACATTTCACTCCACTGAGTAGCATTAAAAAATTCAGCAGTGAATTCATGAGCAAAATCCTGATATGTAAAATTTGGTGGATATCTTTGTTTCATAAAGTCACTATATTTAGTAGTGTCTTTTTCATCTACAAATAATTCAATTATTTTAGGATGAGAGTCATGAGTAACATGATACTTAATACTGTTACATAGAAATTAGTGTCATATAAAGTTCAAAAAATTAATTATTTTACAGGTACTACAGTCAAGTGAAAATGATACATTACCTTTCCAATTATTCCAAAACCATTCTGAACCAAAACTGGGAACACTAAAGACACCCCAATGAATAAAAATGCCTAATTTTGCATCATCGTACCATTGTGGAAGTGGACGGCTATCTAAACTGGCCCATGTTGGAGAATAATTAGTTACGTCTGTTTCTGTAGGCCAAATGCCTTCATCATCTGTGACTATCATATACTGGTTGTTTCCCCATGATGTACTTAATATTGAAGAGCACAATAAAATATAAATTGATAGATTCATTATCACGGCTGAAATAAATTGTACTTGCTGGAAATAAATTGTACCACATATTACACAGGTATTTATACTTCTGTCAAATACTGCATTAAAAACTGGAGCACTCTTGATTGCTTATTCACTTTGACTTATTACATCATTGGTGATTAGATTAATTAGATTAGATTGAACTGAACATCTTACTGTTTACCAATTTAATTAAAACATATCTTTTGTGTATTCGATAATAAACTCATGTGTATGAGAGAATAAATTAAAAAAAAATAACAATCAATTTTTAGATATTAAAATCTGAACTACTCTATGTAGGTATATATATTTAAATAAGATTTTACTTAGAACTAAAAACTATTTAAAATTTTGTAAATATATAAAAAAAATAAGAAAAATATGAATTAATTTTTTACTATTTTTTAAAAAACAAAATTATGTTTTTATAATAAGTGATATGTTAAACAAAATTATCAGAAATAATGATAAACCGTGTCTTACCTTGAAAAAAACTTGTATAATAAAATGTACTATAAAGTTATAGTTTTAAAAAATGAAATTGCAAAAACGGTCCTGTGTAACACTATCCATCATTATACAGAGAATGTTTTAAAAAAGAAAGCATGCTAAAATATTGTTTTTTTCACCCGCAGTTTTCGGAACAACGAAGCCGGATTTTTGAATACCAAAATGTCTACTATTCTTATCTTTCCTGTGCAAAATACCGCAAGATAAAGAAGGATCGACCTGAACTTCTCAGTTTTCGCCGCATGAGGCCTCCGAAGTCAATTCTGAGTTAGTTCGCTGATATACTTAACCCTTAGCTATTGATTACTTTGAAAAATTTTATCAGTAGCCAATAGCATGCTATTGGGTAGGAACAAAGTCGCAGAATTTGAGTAAATTTGCGAGTGCTTGACAGGGTTGATAACAGTGTAAGTATTAATACGGCTCATAATTATTTTTGAGAAATATATTGTACCGAATCTAAAATATTTATTAAACTCATTCTTTCATGTAAAAATTTCTGCTAAAATGTATTTGCAACAAATTTGAAATTACAGGGTTCGGAAGTTGCTGATAATTAATAAAACCTATAAAATTCGTCATGGCATCTTGGATACCATTGGAATCAAATCCAGACGTAAGTATTATGTAGATTTTTCTTAAAAATTTAAATATACGTTGATCTTCAAGAGTTATTTAATCATTTCTATCTTTTGTTTTAGGTTATGACAACGGTAAACCATCATGACTTTTAAATATTGATATTTATCTCTGATCTTATAATGTTGATATATTACATTTTAATATTAAACACTGATGTGTTAATGTTAGTAACATAATATATTTATATTTTTGAAGTAACTTTCTTTTATAATACAATAAATTTGTTACAATTTAATGTGTAATTAAATTTGATAATGTAACACGTATTTTGTAGTTTTTGCACAAATTAGGTGTACCAAAGGAATGGAGTATTGTTGACGTTTATGGATTAGAACCTGATTTACTGGCACTTGTTCCAAAACCAGTCCTTGCTGTCATTTTGCTGTATCCTTTACGTAAAGAGGTTTGCAACTTAAAATTATCCATTATATTTATTTAATAATATTTAACAAAATTTTTATATTTATAGGGTGGCAATGGTTTAGAAAGTGAGGATGACATTAAGGAAAGTGATACGAGTGCTACAAGTCCTAAAGATCCATCAGTTTACCATATGAAACAATATATTCATAACGCTTGTGGCACAATTGCAATAATACACAGTATTGCAAATAATTTAGATCGGTAAGTTTTTATTTAAGAATATAAAAAGTAAACTTGTATTATAAGAAATTTTGTTTCTCATCATTCAATGTTTCCATAGTATAAATCTTCAAGATGGTTTTTTAAAAACTTTTCTGACTGATTCAAAAAACCTTTCCTTTATGGAACGTGGAGAACTTTTAATGAAGTCACAGGAGATTAGTAATACACACGAAGAATTGGCACATGAAGGACAAACAGAGGTATGATTGTTATTGTGTATTATAATTATAAAAAATCTGATGAACAAAATTTTGTAGGTACCAAGTCAAGAAACACCAATTTATCACCATTTTGTAGCATTTATACAAAGAAATGGAGTTTTATATGAATTAGGTAAAAATTTCTATGCTGAGAAGATAGATATAGTATAAGTTAGTATAAGAATGTTTTTATTAACTTGGTAAGCATTAAAATTGTAGATGGACGTAAATCTGGTCCTATTGAGCATGGTGCAACTAGTCCAGAAACATTATTAGAAGATGCAGCACGTGTTTGTCAAGAATATATGGCACGTGATCCAGAAGAAGTATGTTTTACAGTCGTCGCTCTTGTCAATAGTGATTCAGAATCATTTTGACTTAATGTGTAAGGTGTAATGTATACATTTTGAAACAATTTTTTAAATAATTTATTTTCTATATATACATATCCATCTGCCTCTTTAATTTGCATTTATTAACATTTGCTTGTTACTATATTGTAATACGTGTATTCATAAAATAAGCACATGTTTATAAGAATTTGTCTTACTGCTTTGAATAAATATAATCTTCTTTAGATACGAGTTTGAATAACGAAAATATGAAAAGTATTTTAAAGCAAGCACAATGAAGCGATATTCAAATGTGTTTATTTACAAAAGAATTGAGTATGATTCAGGTCACAATTTTTATACATTTTTAAAAATTAAGATTTCGATAATTTAATAAAGAGTAAGGATATTGAGTAAATAAATTTAATCAATATTGTGATATCATATACAGGGCTGTATATTACTTGTTAGGAGTAATTCTTATTTTTTAAGTTTGAAAATCGATCATATGCGGATTGCGATCATACGATTGCTTATATTTTCAGTCTCAATTATGAGTACGTACAATTTTTCGTATTTTTATATGTTATAAATATGTATTAGATATTTTTCATGTGCTCAGAATAGTCGATATGTTTCAAATTAAATTTTGTATAAAATTAACAAAGAGATCTGTCTACGACAATAATCAATAAATGTATACAGACGATATATTTTTAAAATACATATTTTTTCACAGAAGTCCGATAATTCATAGAGGTAAAATACCTTTGTTTCCCCTATCATCGGAGGTTGCAAAACTTGTCGGTCACTGACCAGAAGCTAGCAAAAGCCTTAGTTATTTTAGATCCTCTTCCGAGAGAGAGCATCTTGGCACAACTCTCTAAATAGTCGCTTTAAAACACGAAATAAAATAGAAATGTAGGCCTCTGCAATTACTTGTTTGCTGTATTTCATTATTTCTTACGCAACATAATGCAACGATTATAAATAATATTTAAGCAAAAAATATTATTGCTTGTTGTAATAATTGAATTCAATTTCAAGACACGGTAAAAATTAGATTAAATGAAAATTTTATTCTAGTTAATTCTTTATACCAATCTAAAATAAATTAATATATAAAAATCACTCTTGCTTTTTTTAGATTGATATAAAAAATTATTCAAGACGTTTTTAATACACAAATTATAACTATTTCAATTTAAGACAAACTAGAATTGTGAACTGTCTACAGAAACAAGGAATTAGGTACGAGTTAGTCATTATTTGCTTTTGGTCCGTTTTAACAGAAAAATTTTCCATGGGAACCGTCAACTTATGTCACCACTATTATTTCGTGTTTGAAAATTTTCCACGTTCCCCGTTGCGTGTCTCTTAAATTCCTGCGCAAGAAATTGTAAGTTTCTTTTCATGTACGTAATTAAGATGATGCATTATTCTTTTTTATTGTACTGTATAACTGTTGCATCCTCTTATGTAAAAACTTACATATTTCTAGTTACCAACAAGATATGCAGTTATGCGATAAACTGTAAAGCGCAATTAATTATCTAATGATGTTAATATCTTCAGAGGTCTTTTACACTCTTCGTTATTTATGAAGATGGAAAATTGTTACATCCGTCTTAACGTGTGAAGCTAAAAATGGCTATTATAGTAATTTTAGATGGAAATAAGTATATGATTATTTATTCAATTTTTTATAATCTTTCGTTTATATTTTAATGTTCAAGATTGTATAAATTTTTCTTTTTTAGCAGGAATAGATCAAAATGTCATCTATTAGATAACACAAGTTGGATTGCATTTGGGCAAATACACGGTTCAATAGCCGAAGAATTCTGTTAGGACAACTCAAATTTTCCCGGCAATGCGTCATCGTAGTGGAAAATTTCGAAGCCCTTATACTCTGCGATACAACGCTTGGAGATTCAAAGATAATGTTGATTTTCAAGAAGACCACGCAATAGCGATCTCCTGATTCAACGTCATTTTTAAGTAACATGTCACGCGCTAGCATCGATCACTTATCCGTACGAAAAAATCAGTGACGTTTAGAAAACGGAAAGTTTTAACTCCAAAGAAAACAGATGGAATATTTTAATATCTAATGTTTTGATCATTGTTGATCTATAATGTAGAATGTCATATCTGATGTGATACACGATGGCACTTGTCATAATACAGGATCAATTTGTCAATTATTATGATCAATGTTAGATAATACAGATTGTTAGAGGTATTGCGCATTCATTTTTAAATTCGGTGGTTTGATTTATGATTTATTATTTTGAACATACACTATAAAGTTTTTGAGATGGGTATGCATTGAAGGTGGTAGTTTTTTGTAAAATTGTTGATAAAATATTGCTTTAATTTTAAATAGAAAAGAACAACTAGAGAATCGCTATATTTATGTACATAATTATGTAGATGTAATTTAAGCTTTTATGAATTAAGGATGTAAGATAGAATTATTATTAGAGATAATAGCCGTTTAACCGATATTATTACTAATATCTTAACAGTTATAACGATTATTATATAATCATTGTTCTTCATACGCGACTTTTAATTTTAAAAAATAGCGCGCTTTTACTTGGCGCGATAATCGACACTAATTTTGAAGTAAATTTTTCGCAATAATATTAACGTTGTTGATCAAATTTTCAGTGAGAGTAATTCGTTAATTTTTTACTAAAGTCATTTTTATTGAAATTTGAGTGTCAATCTTGTATTATTCTATTACTTTTATTTTCTGAGGAAAATGTATAAGATGACGCACCCCGTGTGTTATTTACAATTTACATAACAACTGACGCACCGTATGCGTCCTATTAAAAAAACCAGCAGATTCAAATCGCACAAACAAAAAATAAAAAGTACCATCTACATACGATAATAATTGAAAATCGTTGTATACTATTTTACGAGTTTTACACAAAGTAACGATACTCCATTGACCATTGAATACAAATACGTAATTTTATTGTAAGTTTTCAATAAAATAACAAGCTTATTAGATTTCGATAAAAGCACGAAGTAAACACATCGTAAACATTATATATTCATAAATGGCTGCTTTAGTTTAAGGTCGTACCGCACCTATAAAAATGTTACGTACACGTACGACCTCGATTCCATTTATGGCATACACTATACAGGATGTTTCACGATGTAAGTATAATTTTATGGCTGAACGTTTGGAGGATGAGAAATAAATATAAACACACGTGTACCATGTTTCTGCTATACTTCTAAATATTTGTGTTTCAGAAATATTATCACATTTATTACTGTTAATGCCCGTAGGCGTCTGAAGAAGCATTTTTATTAGTTCGCTAGGTATGATTCGGAGTGATTTTTGGAAATTTGGGAATTTGGTGATTTAGATATTGGGGAGTTTAGGAATTTGGGGATGTGAGTGTTTGGAAATTTGAAATGTTGGGGATTTAGGAAGGTGGGGATTTGGGAAATTGGGGATTTAGGAATTTGGGGATTTGGGAAATTGGGAATTTGAGAAATTGGGGGTTTGGCAAATTGGGGATTTGAGAAACTGGGGATTTGAGAAATTGGGGATTTGGGAAATTGGGAATTTGAGAAATTGGGGATTTGGGAAATTGGGGGTCTGAGTATTTGGAAATTTGAGAAATTCGGGATTTAGGAATTTGGGGATTTGGGAAATTGGGAATCTGAGTATTTGGAAAATTGTGAAATTGCATATTTGAGAATTTGGGAATTTGAGAGGATGGAAATTTGAGATGTTGGAAATTTGAAAGATTGGGAATTAGGGATTTTAGGAAATAGTAAACAGAGGTTTTGGAAATTTGCAAACTAGGAAAATAGGGATTTTTGAAAATTCAAACTTCTAGAAATATTTGATTAAGGAACTTGAAAAAGCACTTTGAAATCTTTGAAAACCTTGAAAGCTTGAATTTCAAATCTTCAAATATAAAATATCCAATTACATCCAACTTCCTCACATGCATAATCCAAAAGATCTCTCAGAATTGCAATTTTCCATAAATTGCAAAGCTACTCAGTGAATTTTATCCAGAAATATCCTTATCTCCAACGTCAAACGAACCAACTACTTTTGCACAATCCCATAGCAGGAAACCAGGATTAAATCCAACAGAAAAATGAAATAAAAAAACGAATAAAAGAAATAAATTTGATAAAAACATCGCGATAAAACAGACAGGACGATAATTTATTGCGGCGATTATATCGGTAGATTATAATTCTCCAAGATAGTTTGACGAATGTTTGTCAGCGACTTTGTGGAATTTTAATTGAAACACGTAACATTTCGTTGTCACTAGAATATGCGATAAAAAGGTGACGAAGTACGCAGATTATCAATTAGCAACACGCAATCTCCTGGTCACTTTGTACGATTATTTCGTACGCAATAATAAACGTCCAATCAATGAAAGGAATATTTATGGAGGCTCAAGAGTCATTGATTCTATTGCCTGACGTGTACACACACTTTTATCCTTATCGTTAAAACTATACCGGAAATAACTGCGCGATGTTGATGAAGGTATATATTGGTGTTTGTAGGATGTCTAATTTTAATCTCTTATTTACTGCAAAATATTGATTGTGGTCAAATTTGTTTAGTGTTTGCTTCAAATTTGTTTAATGTGGTTTTTGGTGAGTGGATTGGAAATTTTTGGGATTGGTGGAGTGATGAATTTGGGAATTTGGGGATTTGGGTTTTTAGAATTTTGGGGGATTTGGGATTTTTGGGGGTTTGGGAATTTTCAGGGATTTGGGAATTTAGGAAATGAGAATTTGGGGATTTGGGAATTTAAGAAATGAGAATTTGGGGATTTGAGAATTTTTGGAGATTTGGGAATTTTTGGGAATTTGGGAATTTTTGGGAATTTGAGAAGTTTTTGAGATTTGAGAATTTTGGGGGATTTGGAATTTTCGGGGATTTGAGAATTTTCGGGGATTTGGGAATTTAGGAAATGAGAATTTGGGGATTTGGGAATTTAAGAAATGAGAATTTGGGGATTTGGGAATTTCTGGGGGATTTGAGAATTTTGAGGGATTTGAGAATTTTTTGAAATTTGAGAATTTTGGGGGATTTGAGAATTTTTGGAAATTTGTGAATTTTGGAAATTTGAGAATTTTTGGGAATTTGAGAATTTAGGGATTTGGTAATTTGAGAATGTGGGAATTGGGGAATTTACAATTTGGGGACTTGAGAATGTAGGAAATTACAAATTTCGAAATTTTGAAAATAAAGGAATTGTGTGTTTCGACATTAGGAATTTTCAAATTAAAAATTTGGGGATTATGAAAATATAATGTAGAGACTTGGTAATTTGAGAATTTTATCTTGAGTACTTGAGTACTGAATATAATATTGAATACTTTGAATATGTAGATATTTATTTATTCAAAAATTTAGGTATTTAAGAATGTAGAAATATATGAATCGTTTAGTTTGTAAGTGGTGTAAGCCATTTGCATGAATATACATATTTTACTTAAATCATCTAAAACAAATTTGTATAATCAAATTACATATTGATGAATCAGTAAAAAAAATTACTGAATTGTCAGTCTTGATATAATTAACCCATATTTTTTCATTGACATATTAATCTTTAATTTTCTCAAAATAAATTGTAATGGACATCACTTTCAAAATGAACGATCCATATAAGCTACACAAATCTATGAATTCGAGAAAATAGAAACTTCAGTATCCACAAATCTATGACTTTGAAATTTGAGAAAATACAAACTTTAGAGTCCACAAATCTGTGACTTTAAAATTTGAAATTATGAAATTTTGCAGATATGAATATGAAAATTTGATGATATGAATATGAAAATTTGCTGATACGAATATGAAAATTTGCAGGTATCCTCGCACCATATATCTAAAGGAAATCCACAATAGAGCATAAACGAGAAGAAGTATGACCGTGA